GAAAAAACGTATATATACATTTGGACCATTTAAGGGTTAATAGTTCTTGGTCTTATTACTTTTCCTTTTATATCCATGGGGAAGTGGAATAAGAATCTTTCCTCTGTAAGCCATGCGTGTTGTAAAAGTCAACTAAAATGCCGGGAACAATGGGCAAGTAACCCCTTTTCCTGTAATAATTACTAAAAAGAAGAAGAAAATTGTCAAAGTGGGAAGTCTCAATGTGCATGGATGTTGAGCAAATGATAAGAAAGAGATGACTGTGGATGTTATGAATGAGAAGAAGCTGGATGTCCTGGCTTTAAGTGAAACAAAGACGAAGGGGGTGGGAGAGTTTCAGTGGAGACGAATAAATGGAATTAGGTCAAGGGTTTCAAATAGAGTTACAGCTAAAGAAGGACTAGCAATAATGTTGAAGGATAAGTTATGGCAGGAAAAGAGGGACTATAAATGTATTAGTTCAAGGATTATGTGGAGTAAAATAAAGGTTGGATGTGAAAAGTGGGTTATAGTAAGTGTATATGCACCTGGAGAAGAGAGAAGTGTAGAGGAGAGAGACAGATTTTGGGAAATGTTGAGTGAATGCATGGGGAGTGTGAGAGTAATGGTAGTTGGGGATTTCAATGCTAAAGTGGGCAAAAATGTTGTGGAGGGAGTAGTAGGTAAATTTGAGGTGCCAGGGGTAAATGAAAATGGGGAGCCTTTAATTGAGCTATATGTAGAAAGAGGTTTGGTAATAAGTAATACATATTTTATGAAGAAGAGGATAAATAAATACACAAGGTATGATATAGCACGTAATGAAAGTAGTTTGTTAGATTATGTATTGGTGGATAAAAGGTTGATGGGTAGGCTCCAGGATGTACACATTTATAGAGGGGCAACTGATATATTGGATCATTATTTAGTTGTAGCTACAGTTAGAGTAAGAGGTAGATGGGAAAAGAGGAAAATAGCAACAACAAGCAAGAGGGAGGTGAAAGTGTATAAACTAAGGGAGGAGGAAGTTCGGGTGAGATATAAGCGACTATTGGCAGAAAGGTGGGCTAGTGCAAAGATGAGTAGTGGGGGGGTTGAAGAGGGTTGGAATAGTTTTAAAAATGCAGTATTAGAATGTGGGGCAGAAGTTTGTTGTTATAGGAGGGTGGGGGCAGGAGGAAAGAGGAGTGATTGGTGGAATGATGAAGTAAAGGGTGTGATAAAAGAGAAAAAGGTAGCTTACGAGAGGTTTTTACAAAGCAGAAGTGTTATAAAAAGAGCAGAGCATATGGAGAGTAAAAGAAAGGTGAAGAGAGTGGTGAGAGAGTGCAAAAGGAGAGCAGATGAAAGAGTGGGAGAGGCACTGTCAAGAAATTTTAATGAAAATAAGAAAAAACTTTGGAGTTAAACAAGTTAAGAAAGCCTAGAGAAAGAATGGATTTGTCAGTTAAAAAGAGAGTAGGGGAGTTAGTAGATGGGGAGATGGAGGTTTTGGGTAGATGGCGAGTATATATTGAGGAACTTTTAAATGTCGACGAAGAAAGGGAAGTGGTAATTTCATGCACTGGCGAAGGAGGTATACCATCTTTTAGGAGTGAAGAAGAGCAGGATGTGAGTGTGGGGAAGGTGCGTGAGGCATTACGTAGAATGAAATGGGGTAAAGCAGCTGGAACTGACGGGATCATGACAGAAATCTTAAAAGCAGGGGGGGATATAGTGTTGGAGTGGTTGGTATTTTTGTTTAATAAATGTATGAAAGAGGGGAAGGTACCTAGGGATTGGCAGAGAGCATGTAGAGTCGCTTTATATAAAGGGAAGGGGGACAAAAGAGATTGTAAAAATTATAGAGGAATAAGTTTACTGAGTATACCAGGAAAAGTGTATGGTAGGGTTATAACTGAAAGAATTAGAGGTAAGACAGAATGTAGGATTGCAGATGAGCCAGGAGGTTTCAGAGTGGGTAGGGGATTTGTAGATCAAGTGTTTACATTGAAGCATATATGTGAACAGTATTTAGATAAAGGTAGGGAAGTTTTTATTGCATTTATGGATTTAGAAAAGGCATATGATAGAGTGGATAGGGGAGCAATGTGGCAGATGTTGCAAGTATATGGAATAGGTGGTAAGTTACTAAATGCTGTAGAGAGTTTTTATGAGGATAGTGAGGCTCAGGTTAGGGTGTGTAGAAGAGAGGGAGACTACTTCCCAGTAAAAGTAGGTCTTAGACAGGGATGTGTAATGTCACCATGGTTGTTTAATATATTTATAGATGGGGTTGTAAAAGAAGTAAATGCTAGGGTGTTCAAGAGAGGGATAGGATTAAATTATGGGTAATTAAATACAAAATGGGAATTGACACAGTTGCTTTTTGCTGATGATACTGTGCTTATGGGAGATTCTAAAGAAAATTTGCAAAGGTTAGTGGATGAGTTTGGGAGTGTGTGTAAAGGTAGAAAGTTGAAAGTGAACATAGAAAAGAGTAAGGTGATGAGGATATCAAATGATTTAGATAAAGAAAAACTGGATATCAAATTGGGGAGGAGGAGTATGGAAGAAGTGAATGTTTTCAGATAATTGGGAGTTGACGTGTCGGCGGATGGATTACCTACCAACCGGCAATGTGTGGCGTAAATTTTATGCAGAAAATTCAGAGTGTGGAAATTAGGAGAAGGTGTGGAATTAATAAAAGTATTAGTCAGAGGGCTGAAGAGGGGTTGTTGATGTGGTTTGGCCATTTAGAGACAATGGATCAAAGTAGAATGACATGGAGAGCGTATAAATCTGTAGGGGAAGGAAGGCAGGGTAGGGGTCGTCCTCGAAAAGGTTGGAAGGAAGGGGTAAGGGAGGTTTTGTGGGTGAGGGGCTTGGACTTCCAGCAGGCGTGCATGAGCGTGTTTGATAGGAGTGAATGGAGACGAATGGTATTTAGGACCTGACGATCTGTTGGAGTGTGAGCAGAGTAATATTTAGTGAAGGGATTCAGGGAAATTGGTTATTTTTATATAGCTGGACTTGAGTCCTGGAAATGGGAAATACAATGCCTGCACTCTAAAGGAGGGGTTCGGGATATTAGCAGTTTGGAGGCATATGTTGTGTATCTTTATACGATTATACTTCTAAACTGTTGTGTTCTGAGCACTTCTGCAAAAACAGTGATTATGTGTGAGTGAGGCAAAAGTGTTGAATGATGATGAAAGTATTTTCTTTTTGAGGATTTTCTTTCTTTTTGGGTCACCCTGCCTCGGTGGGAGACTGCCGACTTGTTAAAAAAAAAAAAAAAAATTTCGCTTTGGGCCCTTCAATTCCAATTAATTTCATTCAGCCCTTTAAGGAATTTAAAGGTGACCTAGTGTTACAGAATATATCAAGTTTTTAAGTTAAATTTGTACCAAAAATGAACTTTTTTGTTTGTTAGTGAACTCCTCCAAAATGAACAACAAAAAAAAAGATTTTGTTTAAAAAAAAATTTTGCTTAAAAATGAAAAGAAAAGCCATCTGATCTCAGATGAAAATAAAGGAAAGTTACAGTGCTTTTTACTTCAAATTTTGCTGTACTAAAGGAATAAAAATAACTGACACGTTTCAAAATTTACAAATATGTCTAGTACACAGGAGAACAACAAACTAATATTTAGAATTAGTATACAGTACTTGCAAAGCAAGAATGAGAGGTAAAAATCTATGTTCACAAAATTATCAGTTGTTCAAACTACAAATAAGGCTACTCCAAATGAAGTCTCTTTGGAGCTAGTAAAATGTACAAAATCATTTAGAAATGGAGTTGTGAAACATTTGGTCAGGATTATGTTGTCTTTGGAGACCAAAAAATTTAAGAACTGTTGAAAGTATAGTAGAGTACAGTATATAACTATTTGCTCAGCCTCTTCCAAGGCGAATAAGCAAGATGAATAAATGTTTCTTCCAAACCAAAATCTCTCTTTCAGAAATGCAAACAGCCTTCAATAATTTTGTACAAAGATACAGATGTCAATAACATCAGCCAAGAGCTAACTTTCTTTCACACCACTGATGAAGATGTCTCATTACATTAAGAACAACTTAAGATGCACCCTTAGAAAGGGTGTAAAATAGAACTGACATTATTTTTTGCAGTATTAATGAATCTCTACTACAAATGGGAATGAAGGTTTCCATTAGTATTTTTGTATTGTGAATGATGATGTAAAAACAATGACTGGCAAGTTTACATGTTTCTTGGACGAGGTGTATACACAATCTTCTGACCTACCAAAGCACTTGCATAATGGGCTGCTGTGTGCAAAATTTCTCTTCACTTAGGAGAAACTCTATTTCTTCCATAATGAAAATACTGGCAATGCATATTGCTATAAGCAGCTGAAACATAACTAACTTATTTCATGATATTTTTGTTAGACATGACTGCTCAATTCAGTGTGCTTAACCTAATTTTATAAGATAAGCATCAGAATGTCTCTCAGCTGGTAGGATACATAGGATCATTTTGTAACCAACTGCACTGTATCTAACTCCATTTAATGAATGTTGTACCCTCTGGTGCACAATGTTGATGCTATTTAATAATTATATTAATGAAAATGCACATGACTAAAGCACCACACTGGACTAAAATTTTAGGTGTACGTATATGATAAAATGTTAACAATTATTAATCTGGGTTGCCCACAGACTGTGAAAAGAAAAATGATTTTGCCCACAATGCTGGAATAGTTGGACCACCCTGCTATACAAGAGACAGGCAAGATATAGTAAAAGCAAACACGTGACAAAAATGTAAAACAATTAAGATGTATGAACAAAGTGAAATGCAGCAAAGATCACAGTACAATAGTGTAAAGACAAAGATGTATCAGATCAGGACTGGACAGAAGACAAAGCATATAAATATGAAAGCGGCTAGAAAGCAGATAGAGAGATAATGCATGTAAGCACTGACCTAGTAAACAGTAAGGATAAGGGTTAAAGCAAGGTAGTTGATGAGAGAAAGGAAATACAAGCTGGGGCTTAGTAAAGGGCCAGAC